ACTAGCAAGGAATATTTAAATCTCTGTGGACTGGACTGAAGGCAATCCAAATGCAAATTACTGGGCACTAAAGAGAGCAGCCAGAGAGCATCTGGACACACAAATTTTCTGAAACAAAGTCGGGCTCTCCAGGACCTTTCAGGTTTCCCCACCACAGGCCTTGTAATCAGGGCAGGGGGTAGCAGGAAGCAGTGTGCCCCAATCTGACAGCAGACTAATAAATCCACCACCCCCTCCTTTTTACCTTTGGACCTTTGGGAGCTGGAAGATGTCCTGCCAGATGGAGAAGAGCCCCTTGTTTTGGTCCTTCAAGCCGATCTTCATCGTCTGCACCATCTGTACACTCAGCTCCTTCTGGCCTCGGCCGTGCAGGAACTGCAACACAAGCGAGGGGCTGGGAGGGGTGACAGGCACAGCAGGGAGGGAGGGGGATGCTCACAGCAGCGAGAGGTGCTGGGGAAAGCCAAAGACGGTGACATGTCGTTCCTCCTCCATTTGTAGGGGAATCAAGGTTAAAAATAACACAGGGGACAGGATGGACATTTTAGAGAGCTGCCTGGGACACAGATTTTTCCCTCCATCCCCATCTGAGCCCAGAGCAAGTCAAAAGCCACAGCAAATCCGTATCCCCCAGAGACCTCCCGGCGACGCGGGTACCTGCAGGGTGTTTATGCAGGAGCGGATGTCGTTCTCCGTCTTCTCGCAGAGTGCCAGCAGCGCGCCCGTGTCCGCTCGCATGCCCTGCCTCAGGGTGATCTGTGGGAGAGGGAGGGTCAGCAGGGAGGGCCCCCCCAAACCCTGGAGGGGGAAAGAGGAGCCCTAGGCCACACCACACCTCGCAGAGCCGCTGGGCGAGCCGGGACGGCGCCGTCCGAGGGAAGCTGAGCAGGAACGATTGCTGCCGCAGCGGCCGGAGGGCAGGGACGTACCTGGCAAAGGGAAGCACAGGGGTGTCTGAGCGAGCCTGGCAGAGGAAGAAATCCAGTGATTGACACTCCACTCAAAAGAGAGGTGGGTTATTTAGCAGCTGCCCGCACATCACTGCATGCTTGGGCATGCACAAACGCAACTGTGTGCTCACAGCTGGCTACAGGTCACCCCAGCAGATACAAAACCCGGGAGAGAAGGTTTCAGGAAAGCTGAGCGTGTTGCAGTTTTACATTTTGTAAGGTATTTCTAAGCTGACAGCAGATAACGTGGCACATGAGGACTTTGGCTGGAGGCAACAGCAGCCACCTCATTGCCTGGGGCACGGGTCTTGGCTCCCCACCCCTCCCCAGACATGCAGGAGACACTGACTGGTCATTGCAGATGCAGATGATGGGTCTGAGCAACAATCCACCCTCACGCCGCCTCCTCCGGCCCGTGCCGGCCGCTGCCTCAGCCTCCGTGTCTTTATGGTGAATGATGTTCAGCAGCACGTTGATAGATGCCTTGGAAAACAAAAAAAATATTGAGGACAGAAGGGATGAATTCTTGCTGTTCAGAGGCAGGAAAATGCTCTTAAAATGAACACTAAGAGGGTAATAGTTAAGTGGTTAATGCAAAAGGTGGCCAGATCCAGGCTGGGCTCACCGCGGGCGCTCCGTCTATCTCATCGATGATCAGGCAGTTGGGCTTCTCGTTGGTGCCCAGCACAGACTTCATCTGGGTGGCAGCTTCAATGCGGGTTTTGAAAACCTCGGGGCTGCGGTCATCGCTGCAAGAGAAGGTGGTGTCAGGCTGCTGCGGCACGTCCTGGGGCAGGGCAGGGCTGCGCAGCCAGCACGAGCTCACCTGGCATTCATCTCGACGGCATTGTACCCCGCGTGCTTCGCGATGACGTGGGCCAGCGTCGTCTTTCCCAAGCCAGGTGGGCCACAGAGCAGGGCTACCTGCAGCAGAGAGGCTAATGTCAGCCCGGCAGGCAGCGAGGCAGGGCTTCCTCCAGCACCCACCAGGCTGCCATGTGCAGGGTCAGGGCTCTGCAGCCTACAAAATGTTCTGCTTTAACCCTTGGGAGCTGCTGCGCTCCTTTGTAGACTACCAAGAAATGGGAAAAGTCACTGGAGGAGGGAGAATGTAACAGCAACTCTCAGACAGCACCATCCTGAAAGCATCTCACATGTATATGTTTAAGTTTGCAGGGCAATAAATAGAAAAGGCTGAACAAAATCCCTTTCAGAATTACGTGCCTGGGAAGTAATGCTTAGTATCTATTTTTTGTTTCTCATTTTTTATACCCTCTCACTGGACAGGTTGAAGCTGGTAAGCTGGTCTGGGTATGCTCTCTCTGCTCCCTCTAGCATTTGAGCATCACTGCTCTTTTCTGGATGCAGAAACTCCAGCTCAAAGGCATGTCACATCTGCCCCTAACAAAGTCAAAACCAGCCTCTGCTAAAAAGGGTAGATCTTCCCTCAACCAGCCCATTTAATTTGGTTGGAGGAAGTATGTTCCCCTCCCCTTGTTATCACATTACACAAGCCCAAACCAATGACAAAACCCCATATTCACCAAGAAAAAACAAGGAATCCAATTTCTCCTAGATCTGTAGTGGAGATGGGGAAGATCTTGCTCCTCATCTCGGCAGCAGGGTGAGGGGGACGAGAGAGAAGACCCCCTGCAGCAGCGTCCTGTCCTGCTCACCTTGTATTTGGGTCTCTTGTGCTGGTCCAGCTCAGCCTCCAGCATCTCCTCTGTCAGCTGGACCTTTGTTTTCCACTTATTCTGCTGCTCCTTAGGCTGGCTGAATGTAGGATGAGCTTCAGTGTTGGGCTTGGCCTTCACAGCCCTCTCCTTCCCGAACACCACTGTGTCCCAGAGCTTGAGCCACTTCAGAAGGCAGCGGTTTGTGTACTGCGTGTGGGCGAGGAAGCAAACAAACCCATCAAACCTCAGAAGGATCCAGCTGCGTACAGAGGAAAGACCTCTCCTTCACAGCATAAAAACCAGCGTGACCTGCAGAGGAAGGAGCTGAGCCGGTGAAGCAACGCACAGTGTGTCTGCCCAGGCAGACCTCGAGCAGGTGGCATGTCACCTCCTGCCACAGCAGCAGCTGCCCAGGTTTCCTCCGGACATCTCTCTGGGACAGCACGGGAAGGCAGTTTCCCTTCCTGCCTCGGCCACCATCCCACAGGGCAACCGAAGACAAGTCACATCAGCCCTGCTGTCCCTTGCCTGTCTTGGCTCAACCCAGCACTTTTCAGCCTCTTCCATAATTTCCAGTTCCCCACTAATCTTCTAATATTCAAAAAGAAACCCAAAACAGCCAACAATTCCTGGCTAAAGTCCTATTTTTTCATCTTATTTTTTTTATCTTTCATAGTCTCTTTTCTCAGAAAGTCCGCAGCTGAAAACCTCCCACCCCAAGCTCTCGGCAGCAGGCCTATCCCCGGGCAGGGCTAGCATGGATGGAGCCCCCCCAGACAGTGGCAAAAAGGCAGCACCATAAAACCCCACAGCATTAAGGAAGAGTTATACAAGTGGTAAACCCACCCAAACCCCAAGCGCCCGCTTCTCCTAGTGCCTCACATCATCACTGAGCAGCTCCATGTAGCGTCGGGGCATGAATTTGTCCACCCAGAGGCAATGCAGCGCAGACTCCTCCTCGTCTGCCGGCTCCGCTACCGCGGGGGGCTCCGGGCTCTCAGTGCTGGTCTCGGTGCTGGTCTCGCTCTCAAGGCAACTGCAAGAAAAATTAATTTGCCCCAAACCACCCAGAGAGTCAGGGGAGGGTTGGAAATTACACCCGGACTTCCCAAGCTGGGGATGCTATGGGCAAAGAGGCTCCTCTGCTCACAGGTCCCCAAAACCTGGATGTCACCATTTTGGGAGCCACAATCCAACAGTGGAGGAAGTGGGATTTCGTCCCAACACATCACCTATTTATTATCTCCGTCAGTTGCTGCGACGCCTCCAGAACACGCCTTCGACGCTTGAGCACAAAGAGGGCGAGAGGGGGGTCAGAGACACCCCCCTAACCCACAGCTGGGGGGAAGTGGGACTCAGGAGCCAACACTGTGGCTATACAGGGGTGGCAGGGGAAGGCGGGAAGGTCGGTATAAGACGTGATACCTCTTCATGCACTTGTTCCTTCAGGTAGGAGAAAGGTACCCCCAGCAAGTGCAGCGGCCTGCGTGCATTCCAGCCCAGGGAATCATGGAGCTGCGAGGACCAGAGGACACACACCAACACTCAGCACAAATATTTTATGCTTCATCAAAGATCCCCTCCTGAAGCAGGTGGAAATCACAGAGAAGCATGCCCAGCCTTCAGATCCCTCCTTACCTCCACCCCTGTCCTGAAGGGATCATCCTTCACCACCATGAAGACCCTGGTGCCCTCAGTGGACGTCACGTTGATGTAATCCTCCAGGATGGGCGGCCGCTTGAGGACCTGCTGCTTCTTGGAGGGCGGCGTGGTCTGCAGCGGGGCCATGCCGCTTGTCTCCAGGGGGTCCGAGCTGGAGAAAAGCAGGTTCCTTTAGAAGGGACGAGGAAAAGAGCCCATGAACCCCACCGAAGGGTCAAGGTGGCCAACCTGGCAGTCTGGGGAGCCTCTGGGCCAGGATCCCAGCGGACATCAGGAGCCAACTCATCATCTGCACCAAAGTTGAGTTTCTTAACAGCTTCCAGGCGCTGTCGCTTGGGCTTCGGGGCTGTGAGAGACACCAGGGCAGGAGGAAGAGGAGAAGCATCACTGACGGAAGGTGGGTGCTAGGCTGCTCCTCCAGCAGCACCCTGAGCCGCTCGGGGTGGGGGGGAAAGGGGTCACCAGCACCCGGGCACCCTCCGGGGCTGCAGACCTGCATTAGGACCAAACCTACTGTGGGCTGCGGGCGGCGGCGGGGAGCCGGGCGGGTCGCAGCCCCGGTCCCTTTTCCTGAGGTTGGTGCCTCCCGGGCCGCTCCCCCCGACAGGGTCCCTGGGGGGGTCGGGCTCCTCCGGCAGCTGCCTCCTGCCCC